GCCACAAATTGTACATCCGGAAACCCGGAAGAGCGATACCAATTGATCCAATATCAGTTTAAATGATTGTGCCGGTTAAATCACCTAAATGTAAGCGTACAAGTAATGTATCACGGGCGTTCCTTTCAAGCGTCTTCCTGACATCGTTGCAACAGTGTTTACTATTGTGGTTCGAGGTTGTGAACTTTGAATCCTCCCTCGCTCGAATGAGGGTTTATGACCGGAGGTACATGAACCGTGTGGTCATTTCAATAATGGAGGAAAGTGTCATGTGTCAATGAAAACAACATATTTACCGGACCATTCAACAGCCTGCGGGAAACAGGCAGTGGACTGTCGCTGTCATGTTTGACAGTCGTGACTGTGAAATTTAGGATGGAAATGCATTTATGAAAATCTTCGACGGTGTCGCTAATGTAATGTCAATGGAAAACAGTTTAAGTATCAATTCGATTGACGAAACGATGAATCCTGATGATCTTGAAGAACATACGCCCCTTTTAGGGTCATCTGGCACTGCACCACAGGCACAAATATGGAAGTTCCCTCGCAGTCTCAGCCGAAACGACCTGGGGGACAGTCGGGGTACCCCCGGGCCCCGGGATAATAGACGGACGCTGGGTACCTTCTCCGGGGTATTCTGCCCTGTGGCTTTGTCTATGTTCAGTACACTATTGTTCCTAAGATCAGGTACATTATATATTAGGATATATATTATGTTGCTTTAATTAATTGTTAGCCCGAGTTTCCTTTGGCCCTCAGCCTGACACCAGACTTGGACAGTTTGTATAATATAATCACATTTTTCTCGTCTGTAGGACAATCTAATTCATAAAGTTTAATTTATGTGCTCGATGCGCAGGTATAAGCTTTGCTTGTCAATATTAAATGGGAACTTTGTCGAAACGTCCACTCAGGTTGAAGATTTGAAACTTTCTTAGGTGAAAGTGACATGAAATGGTTTAAGAGAAACCATAAATCAGAATGGCAATTCCTCCACAATAATACATGGTAACCCCTGTAATATAATCTAGGTGTATTGATCACAGACATGGCTAATACCAGTGCTTGATGCTTTTGATTTATGACATTAGATTAGTTTTGTTAAGAAAAAATAAACCATAAAATATATGTTTTGTTAAAGAAATAAACTATCTATAATCACTGAAACTTGTTGCTGAAACAGCTAAAAAGGATGTTATCCCTCTAGCTCAGCCCAGTCAGTATACGTTACAAGTTATAAGCTTGACATTAACAAGAATAGTTAAATTTCCCATCTCTGTGACATGTATATATATTCTGTCTGTCCAGGAATGAACTTAAGCATGTGCTCACATTTTTTGCATAACCATTGTGCTGCTTATGAGAGCAAGGTTAAGGTTAAGTGTTTGTATATAATTAAGATAAGAAGTTTAAAACAAGTCGGATGTCATGATGATATCTTCTGATGCACATTGTATTATGTATACAGTAGTGTGGTGGCACCTTACAGTTACTCATAACCAAATTTAAGTAGAGCGTCCGACCAGGAAGTCTGTGGTTGCAGGTTTGAATCAACCCCCAGTCAATTCACATGTTCTTTTCACAAGTTCCTTCCTATTACAGTTGGTGCCATCGACCCTCCCTCCTTATTAAGGTAGTGGAGAATTTGGCATAGATTTGGAAGACCTGGGTTAAATGGTATTGCCTTTTTGGGCGAAGACTTGGAAAAAGGAGGAAGTAGTCGCCACCTTACTTACTAGCTTCAGCTAATGGGAATTCACCTTTAGCTCAGTGGTAAAGATTTTGGCTAGAAAGTCTGGACTCTTTAAATTGTTACTTCCTCCTATTACAATCTTAACTGTACAGTTCCTGAAGGGTAATTTTACTTATCATCCCTGAAATTTCTCAATGAACTTAAACGATTCCAACCTTCGAATTTGAGGAGTTCAAATGTGTCTTCAGGGTTGAAAAATTAAAAAAAAAGAATACTAAGCAAGGTTGATCTGTTAACAGTACATCTAAACCATGCAATCCTATTCTATTTAATTTACTTACAGACATTAGGTTTATACATAAATGGGTTCGTTTGTTGATAATTGATATCAATTATGATTTTATTAACAAAACTTAAAAGGATTGAACTTGTGATCAGTAAACTATGTTTTGCTAAATTGCATAATTTACAAGGTCCCGTTGATATTGAAGCTGCACATGATACTGCACACTTCCCTATGTGCTGATCATGATATCGTGCCAAAACTGATATGATACTGACTTAAGTCAATATGTATCTGTAGGTCACCATTTAGTTCATATATATACACCTTGATCAGCATGCTGTAAGATAACAGTCACTGGTGGACAGATATCAGACAGTACACATGTACTCATGTGTACTGATGAGGTTTAGAAGCAGGTTTCATTGTGACAGTTAGATTACAAATGCAGGCTAAGAAATCTACTCAATTCATGGTGGTCATATATATGCATGCAGGTAGCTCACTTGCTTAGAAGATGTTTTATTTAAATTACTGAAGAACATTTGCAACTTCCCAAATGTTTTTCTCTGACTGTTCTCTCTTTTTTATTTTATTTCATATACAAACATTATAAAATCCGTTAATATTTTTACCACCAGCTGCCGCAAATTAATCTTTATAGCCATACAATTATTTTGAAACCCTGTTTTGTGGTCCGATATAAGTGCATCTGCCCCCAGTACTGGAAGTCAACCCTGCACCTATATAGAGCTAAATACCAGCTTACCAGAGTTTAAACACTGTCAAATGCTCTTGACTTCATTGCTGGCCGAGGCTCCATGGTCAGTTGGTTATAGAGTATGAATTTGGCAGAACCTACATGTATATCTGTGTCACTATGGTGACCAGCTGTGTAGTAATGAACAAAAAAGGTGGAAAAAACCCATTTTAAAAATGTTGATATAATTGGACAATATATATATCATGGCATGGCATAAAAAGGTTACAAAGTATTCAGAATAATGTTTTGTTTGAATTCATCACTGTTATCAGTGGATAAAAGACAATGATAGTTGTTCAATGCTGTAAGCTAAGATTGTATAATTATCCATGATTGGCAGCTACTGTAGTGCGGTATAGGGGATTTTCCAGCGTCTGAACTATTTTCCAGCAATCACAGGTTCAACTCCTGGTATCAAATTAAAGCAACTTGTGCTTAAACAAGTCCTTATACTTAAAATAATTGTATAGATATTATTGATCTCTGGCCATAAAATGATAACTTGCAAAGAGGACTGATCGAGTGGAGTGCAGGTGACATTCAGGTTGGTTATACATCTGACCACCGTCTGACAGCTAGCGTACCGTTAAAAATACATGTACAAGTAGTTGTAAAGATACAAGTATGCAACATGGTTAGGTAAAAATATGTGTTCTACATAGGCTGCAGTATATATACGGCATTTGAAGTACGTAATCAATGAATATCTGAATCTACTTCCTCAGTATGCTTTACTCCTAAAGAAATGTTTATACTATTGACATGCACCGTACAGTATGTAAAACATTTGTGTGTTTAAGTGGTATTATTGTTCTCTCCCTGGAGATTGTATCACATGTTTATGAGCTCTAGGAGTTTGTGGGTACAAGGAAATCAGTATATATTATTTGTATATAGCGTGCGCAGCTGTCTGCAAGACATTGCTTGAATTATATTTTACATCAAAGTTTCATAGTTATGAAGTATAGAGGTAGACATGAGATCAATTAGACCTGATAAGCTTTATAACATGTCTTTAAAGCACATTTTCAAGTTGCTATTTTTGAGAAATATTTAAAAGTTTAAAATATTTGATGTGTTTCCTGTCAGTATGGGTGTAATTTTGAGTTTCCTTAATTTCGAATTTTAATATTCTATAATGTTTACTATCTAGAAACTAGATGACTTTTTACATTGGATTGTTGTTTAGGAGATTAGGTTTTTGAAAGTCTAGGCCCATGTAGATACATTTAATTGTTCAAAGTCATAGAGTAGAGCCATGCAGTGCTGTGGTTTCTACAATGAGGGGTGGTGGGTGGTAATTGGTCCTTGTTTGCTTACTGAGAGCTTGCAGCAAGGCAATTGGACAATTTACAACTGTATAATTATAAGTACAGTACAAATTTAGCTGAGGACAATTAAACACAACAAACTTAAGGCTAATTTTCTCCACATTCTATTCTGTCTTTTCATATTGCAGAGTTATCTGCTCTTGATAGCAGGTATTGATTGATACGTCATTTGTTTGTGAGAGTAACGTCATCATTTTTTGAGAAAACGACGTAATTTTCTCACACAAACTAATGACGTAACAATCAATACCTCCTCGCAAGAGCAGATAACTCTGCAATACGCAAAGACGGTCGGAATAAGCAGTTTTAGAACTGCATAATTCAAACTCTATGTGGTAAATATGTATTGTGAAAATATTCATGTAGCACAACCAATTAGTGTTTCTATGTGAGGTTTTGATGACTAAGTACGTATACAGTTTATGTTCTCTGTCACCTTCAGAGTACATGCCATAACCGAAGTGACAAGAGTACATGTGGCATACAGTACTTAGTCATTGAAACGACACATATAAACACTTGTTGGTTGTCCTACATTAATATTTTCACAATACATACTTACCAACCTGAAGAAAATGTTTAGAAATATGTGGTTAATGGATTATTTAATTGTTTATTAAAACAAAAACACATTATATTTCATCTTGTGGTATATATATATATAAACAAACATCTTATCTTAATTTTGCACTTCTGGTTCAGAGCAGTGAAAATTAAAAGGTCAAGATATTCACCTTATACAATCACAACTGCAAAAAGAAAAATCTACTACTACGTAGGTACAAATGTAATTAAATTTCATCGAAATTTATAACAAAATATTTCTGGTGTATTTAATATCTATACATGGATTACTCCAATTTCTTTCTAGCTTTAGTGTTTGATTTAGATATTTACATGATGGTATACTGTATACATATTTTCCAGGATTCTTGGTGGGGCAGGCAGGGATACTTGAGTCTGTAGCTCAGCTGGTACTCGCCTACTTTATCCTGGCGATGACGGTCCTATCCATCTGTGCTATCTCCACCAATGGTGCCCTGGAAGGAGGAGGGGCCTACTGTATCCTTCTGAAATATTAATTAAAAAACTACTTCTATATCCTTTCATGTAAAGAGAAAACAAATTGTACTTTCATGCCGTCTGCCTGTTGATCATCTACCTAGTTGTAATCAAAGCTCTGATTTGGGATTGAAATATTGCAGACTTATTTTTCGAAGGATGATGTTAAGTATGGCATTTTTTTGTCGTCAAAGGTCAAAGGTCAAAACTGAGGTCGTTATTTACCATAGAAAGACTTATATCTTCCATTTTCCGATGGAAATTTATGAAAGGTCAAAATCAAGGTCACAATTACTAAAAATTGAAGTAAAGATTCAAATTCACACACTTGTACCAGATTCATCTTGAATGTTACAAAAGTAAAATTACTGTGACAGTTAATTACCAAGCTTTTATGATACTTGTAGCTTCCTATGGACAATAAAGGTCAAAATTCAGGCCGCCATTGCTACAAACTGGATTATAGGTTTCGACTTCCTCAGGAAAGGTACAAGTGGTCAGAGTTGTAGAGTTGCCATAAATGAATTTTTCCATTTTTTTTTTTTTATCATTTTAATCAAATTTTATTATCTTAATTTGACAAACTGCAGGAAGTAGATTTTAGGAGCAGATTTTAGGAGCAGTAGATAAATAATTGTATTTAGTTACACGGCAATATAATTTTTCAGAGCAATATGTCTTTACCCAAATTATGACAGCATTTTACTTCCTGGAACAAAGTCTACCTAGCTATCACTTACAAAAGGCTGTGTTTCAAAAGGGAATAAATAAATCTTTCCTGGTCTTCTTGTGGTGGTATGGAAAGAAGGAAGGAAACATTCATTTACACCCCAGGCCCTCCACCCCAACCCTGATACCTCATATTTCATGTAGAAATATATGAAACCAAGAATTTATTGAATACCGGGAAATGTTGCCCAGTCTATTATTTGCCGTTCATCAGTAAAATCCTAGTTTGCCTTGTGTTAACTTTGCCCTTGACGTGAAGTTATTATATCTGATATGTTGTGTACTTATATTAACTGTTATGATAAATTTGAAGTTAAACTACAGCAAAAATGTCCCGGCAGTATTGTAGTAATTTTTAGGTCTGTTTAAAGAACCCATTTCCAATTGAAAAGGTGTGTGTTTTTTCTCAATTTGGCCCTTTAAAATGCCCAGTTACGAAATATAGAAAAATAAATGCATATATTTAAACGAATTCCTCATAATTGACCGAGTTTTCAAAAGGAAGCATAATGCAGGAAGGACAGAATTATCGTGTTTGAATCAACATATACTGATAACAAAGAGGAACAGTGTAACTTCATGTACTCAGAGAATGATCATCCCTGTTTCCAAAATACTTCTTTCGTAGATATTTTTTTCTCAATTTTATCTCAATGTCTATTTCCCAAAATCCCCTGGAAACAGAGGTCATTAATATTTGCAACGAATCTAACCTATGACCTCTGGCTTGCTAGTCTGGTGATCTACCAGCTGAGCTGAAGAAAAGTTGTTTCTAGTCAAGTTGGGAGGAAACCACTAGTATTTTGTGAAATACTTCCTGTCTGGGAAAGAACTTTTTCAAGTTTTTCTAAGGGGAAACGGCCAATCATGTCGGAGTAAGGCTGAATATTTGGTCTAAAGGAAAGCCGGAAATCCTGGAGAAAAACTAATGACCTGCTATATATCTACCAGTACCTGGCGACTGCAACACAAAGGCCTCAAACCTGTGACCCAGTGGTGCAGGGCTAGTGATCAATACCTGGTGACTGCCCCACGTACATGTATGCCTCAAATCCGCGACCCAGTGGTGGAGGGCTAGTGATTGTAGACAGTCAGACACCTTGACCACTCAGCCTTTGCTAGTGATTGAACCTAGGACCTCAGGATTACTAGTCCGGTGATATACTATTTAATCTAAAGAGAAACTGTTCCTATCCAGTATCTTCAATAAGATTCATCAGTTCAGAAATTGTAATATCAAAGTTTTACTTGATGCAAACAAAATGTATGTATTAAACGTGTCGCAACGTTTCAAGACCAACTGGTCCCTTTGTGCCTATCCAGGTCTGTAGAGTATACTATATGTAGTGTTACTGTAAACTCCTTAACAACTTACTAGTCATGATTAGTCGAGCCCTGGGACCAGAGTTTGGCGGCAGCATCGGGTGCCTGTTTTTTGCTGCTAATGTGATTGCAGCAGGCCTGTACATCAGTGGATTTGTGGAAGGAATGCTGGAGAATTTCGGTCTAGACGGTAAATTAATCTAACATGTCCCCCCCCCCCTGCAAAAAATGCCATAGTTAGTTTTATTAAACCTCCTCCCCCGCAAACTAAGTTTCGGGGGTATATAGGAATCGCCCTGTCTATCTATCTGTCGACGAACCTTGTAAGTACAACTCGTAACTTCTCCTGAACTGTTTGTTGGATTTTGTTAGCTCACCTGCCCGAAGCGAAGGGCTATTGAGCTAATATGCCATCGTGCAGGGTCCATCCGCCTGTCATCCATATTCCGTTGTCCGTCTGTCCGGCGTCAATTTTCTACTTTAAACAACTTCTTTTCAATAACCAATAGGCCTAGGATGATAATATTTGGCCAGTAGCATGCTGGAATGAAGACCTACTAATATAAGTTTGTTCAAATGAATGACCTTCATCCATTTTCAAGTTCACATGGCTCAAATATGTTTAAAAACCTTTGAACGACTTCTCAATAACCAAAAGGCCTAGGATGATGATATTTTGTCATTAGCATGTTGGGATGAAGGGCTACCTAGTTTGTTCAAACAAATGACATTCACCCATTTACAAGGTCACAGGGGTCAAATATATTTAAAACCTTGAAACAACTTCTTCGCAATAATCAAGAGGCCTAGGATGATGGTATTTGGCTAGTAGCATGCTGAGTGAAAGGGCAACCAAGTTTGTTCTATCGAATGACCTTGACATATATTCATGGTTGCAGAGGTCAATTATGTTTATAACCTTTAAGCATCTTCCTCTGCATTACCAAGAGGCCTAGGGTTATGAAATTTAGCCAGCTGGGATGCATGTTTGTTCAAATGAATGACCTTCGATCATATTCAAGGTCACAGGGATCAAATATGTTTAAATCTTTAAATGACTTGTTCTGAATATTCAAAAGGTCCAGGGTAATGATATTTGGCCAGAAGCATGCTGGTCAGAAGGCTATAAAATCTGTTCAACTTAATGTCCCTGTTCGACTTTCAAGGTCACATGCGTCATATGTTTAAATCATTTAATAGATTCAAATGGATGGAACACAGATATTTTGCCTGTAGCGGTATATTAGTCCACTTTTAAGATTACAAGTGTGAGATTAATACCAGGTGAGCGATTCAGGCCTATTGTGCCTCTTGTTTTTCACCTTGGCACTAAAAATATATTGTATATAATAATGTAGAAGAGCATGAAGAAAGGAATTCGCAATTCAAATATTTATCCTGGAGCTATGCCCCTTGAAAGTTTAAATTTCTGTTTTAAAATCCTTGTAAGCGCAACTCTTTACTCACTGTTTTGGGCTGTAAAATGTGTTCAAATGAATTACCTTGACCCATGTTTAAATGACCCTGATATGGCAAAAGCAAGAAATGTAAAAAAAGAGATTGATTGAAGAATTACAGCCAGAATGCATTTTTAAGTGGAGATTATTGCATATGTCCTGTACTTGCAGGTACACTTCTGCCGGATGGCCAGTCAGGCCTGCCCACACAGCCCAATGAACAATGGTGGAAGTACCTGTACGCTACCATCATCCTTTTCCTCTGCCTCATTGTCTGTATCATTGGTGGTAGCATGTTTGCTAAGACCTCGGCTTTCATCTTTCTGGTAGGTCCACAAACAGTCACCCTTGAGGTAGGGATTTATAGATTACCAGACTGTGTATTATTCAGGGTTTGTTAGGAAAACAGTTTTTGTCATATTGGGCACAAGAATGGGAGCAGTGATTTTTCTGATTTTTTTCCACTGGGATACCTTATAAATTGGCAAAATATCACCAACAAAATGCATGGTTTTCGGAAAATAAAGTGATTTTTGCATTGATTTTAGGAAAAAATAGCAGAAATTATCAAGTGCCAAAAGATTGACTTTACAAAATCACCAGAGAGACAGGTGGACGGACAATTATGTATGCAGAGGAAAGCAATATGAAAAACTGTTTAAAAGAACTGTTTATCACAATTGACATTCTTAGCTTATCAATCAATAAAAATCAACTAAATCCCAGCGATACTAAACCTACATGATATCTGACAGTTCCTTCCAAATTTACTGATTGCACATACTTGTAGCACAAATGAAAATCGAAGTAAATGTAAACCAGGTATGATGGTAAAGGTGATAAAATAACATAGCTGTTATTATATACTTGTTGGTCATATGGGCTGCTTGGCATGTGTGATACTGCTAGCTGTGTATAAGCCAATTATCCCAATCTGATCAATATCCACCTGCAAGCCCCATATCTGCCCGGGCAAATATGGCTATATATTGTATTTTGTTTTAAGGCAGAATATGTGTTATTTGCAGACAATTTTGATGTTGGACTAAACTAAATGAAATATAGATTTAGATGAAACCTGCTCCAATAAAACCTGTTATTTTACTTCCAGGTGATATAAATACTTTTATAGTTATGGTAACATTGCTTTAGTGAGGTACCTGGGCAGTACATGATAAAAAGGCTATGATATGATTACTTCAAATCTGATTAAAATCATATGTTACATGGCTTCGTTAACTTTGTACTACGCCTGAACATCTAAGTGTGTCGCGGTCAGGGTCAAGTTCAGGTGACCTTTATATTTATAAATAATCATTATATTTTGACCAATCAGAGACCCTCTTTCAAAAGGGCGCTCAGAGTTGTAACAAATATGGCGGACATTGATGAGAATGATGCAAAAGTTATTTGAGATTGATTGTCTGAAACCCAACCAGAAAAAGATATTCGAAGCTAAGAAAGACTGTATGGCAGTGTTGTCTAAGCAATCATTACCCAATGGGTACGTTTTCCTTGGTGTCGTAGAAACGTCGGTTCCCGCCGCCATATTTGTTTTGAAAAACTAATCTGTTCGATACCCCTCGCTATTTATCTATCAACCATAATATTCCCATTCGCTGGCAAACTTTTGCTAGCGCACCTCTGATTGGTTCATCCTGTGGTGAAGGGGAACAAATTTTGTATAAACGGTTGGTCTGGCCCACCAGGAGCACTAGGGACCGGGCCCAATAGGGAAAACATAGCAAATTATCCTTTAAAAGCCTTTTTCTTCTGTAGGAATGAAAGGATTTGGTGTGGAGCATCCTTGGGTAAATGGGAACCAATTTTGAATAAACGGTGGGTGTGGCCCCCCTGGGACCTGAGGGGTGGGGCCGAATAGGGGAAATAGAGGTAAAACCTTTATAATCCTTCTTCTACAATAGGGATTAAGGGATATTATCCTAATTTAGTCTGGAGCATCCTTGGGCAAAAGGGACTCAATTTCGTATAATAGCGAGTGTGGCCCCCCCTGGGGATAGAAAGGAGGGGCCAAATAGGGAAAACACAGCAAATTCTTCAAAATTCTTCTTTTTCTGTAGCAGGACTTTGTCCAAATTTGGTATGAAGCACACTGGGGTGAAGGGGAACCAATCTTGTGTGATTGGTGCGTCTGACCCCCCTGGAGGCAGAGAGGCGGGGCCCAATAGGGGAAATAGAGTTAAAACCTTTAAAATCCTTCTTCTACCATAGGGATTAAGGGATTTTATCATAATTTAGCCTGGAGCATCCTTGAGCCAAGGGACTCTATTTTGTATAAGCAGTGGGTGTGGTCCCCCAGGGGGCAGAAGGGTTGGGCCCAATAGGAGAAACAGAGGTAAAACCTTTAAAATACTTCTTCAACCATCGGGATTAAGGGATTTTATCCTTATTTAGTCTGGAGCATCCTTGGGTCCTTGTATAATTGTTGGGTATGACCCCCCCCNTTTTAAACATATTCAGGTGAGCGATACAGGCCCTCTGGGCCTCTTGGTTTTACTTAAATTTAAGAACAGTTTGTTCCTTCATGAATTGAGAAAATGTAGCATTGTTTTCGTTGAAATTGGATATTTGTCAACTTTTTTTTTATACTTTTAGAAAAATGCAGCACTTATTTGCCTGTGTTCGGATCTAACACTAGGCAAAAAAAATCACTGACATCAGTATATTTAACTGTAATTTTTCTTTCAGTTGGTGATACTATGTACCCTATCAGTGTTCATCAGTATATTTGCCAAAACCTCCCCTTTCGAGGTGATTATTCCAAAAACGAATCGTCTGGTGATGAATTCAACCGACCCAAACTCGACAGTAACAGGAATGTACACAGGGTTGTCATCAAATACCTTCCACAAAAACCTACTCAGTAAGTGAATTGTGTTATTTAAATTTGTAAAAATTCATCTAGGGCTGTTATTCATAGAGTTTTATGTTGATATGGGCATACTGGCATACTTGCCATCTTTTTGAAATTTCAAAGAGGTAGATTCGAAATAAAAGCATTAATAAAATGTGTTTATTTTGGAAAAAATAACACTTTTAATTGGCATCTTTTGAGTGGTCGGGTGGTGCAGTGGATAGCTGACTTGCCTTGAGCTTTCACCAAGGCGGCTGGGGTTTGATTCCCCGATCGAACGTGAAAAGGTATGGGGTCACCTGCCCGACCATCTGGGTTTTCTCCGGGTACTCTGGTTTCCTCCCACATTAAGACTCCCCGCGTGCTAATACCCAGGCCAACAAGAGTGATGAATATAAGTTAAAATAACTTGTTTCATAATTGTTGTAAAATAAATAAAGTTTATAGGGTCCAAAATTGGGAGTTTACCTCCATAATAAGGAGAGTTGGCAAGTATATATAGGTATAGATTGACAGTGCATTGATTACTTGTATCTGGGGTACTGTTATTCCTACTTGAATGGTCTTGCATCAGATAAAGGTAAAATTATAGGTGATAATCCTATTGTATTTTGAGATTTGCATCAGTGTATCGTGATTACTAATGTCGTACAAATGCCGTCATAAAGTGAATATTTACCTGTTTCTGAAAGACTTAATCAAAATAATGAATCAGATTTATTATCCAACCAATGAAGCAGGAAAAATCTGCATTCTCTAATGTGAGTTTTTATCAAATTGATAATTTCTGATATTTTACTGCTGAAAATGTAATAAATACATGCATGCTTCTGTTCGTGGAAAAGAATCTCAAATTTCACTGATAGAATAATTGTTTTTTGGTGAGCAGGCTGAGGTTTAACTGTACCTATCGTGTCTTGATTCCTCTAGGCAACTACACCAAGGATTATAACACACGCAAGAAGATGGATTTCGCATCTGTGTTTGCCATCCTGTTCAGCAGCGTGACAGGGATCCTTAACGGCGCCAATATGTCAGGTTAGATATCGGCCCCAGGTGTTTACATAGATAGCATTAAACAGTTATGGACTTTTGTGCTGATGAATATAATGTGATATGAACCTGAAAAAGTAAAGAACATGCATACAAGGCCATTGTTAGACCAAAACTCGAATACTGCTCTTCAGTTTGGGACCCACATTATTAGCTCACCTGGCCCGAAGGGCCAAGTGAGCTTATGGCATGGTGTGGCGTCCGTCGTCAGTCCGGCGTCAACTTTTTACTTTAAACAACTTCTTCTCAGTAATCAAAAGGCCTAGGGTGATGATATTTGGCCAGAAGCATGCTGGGATGAAGGGCTACCAAGTTTGTTCAAATAAATGACCTTCATCAATTTTCAAGGTCACAGGGGTCAAATATGTTAAAATCTTTAAACAACTTCTTCTGAATAACCAAGAGGCCTAGGGTGATGATATTTGACCAGTAACATGCTGGGATGAAGGGCTGCCAATTTTGTTCAAATAAATGACCTTGACTTATATTCAAGGTCACAGGGGTCAGATATTTTTAAAACCTTTAAACGACTTCTTCTGAATAACCGAGAGGCCTAGGTTGATGATATTTGGCCAGTAACATGCTGGGATGAAAGGCTACCAATTGCAAGTTTGTGCAAATAAATGACATTGATTTATATTCAAGGTCACTGGGGTCAAATATGTTTCAAACCTTTAAACGACTTCTTCTGAATAACCGAGAGGCCTAGGGTGATGATATTTTGCCAGTAACATGCTGGGATGAAGGGCTACCAAGTTTGTTCAAATGAATGACCTTTGCCCATTTTTTCTGAATTACTTTAAACTTGGGGTCAAGACGCTGATATTTTGCCTGTAGCTTTATTTTAGTCCTCTTTTAAGGTTACAATTGTGAGATTAATACCAGGTGAGCGATGCAGGCCCATTGGGCTTCTTGTACAAATAACATAAACCAATTAGAAAAAGTACAATGGAGAGCAGCACAATATGTCCTAAACAAATACCATTACACAAGCTCAGTCACAGATATGATACACAACTTTCAATATCCAACACTACACACACGCAGAACAAGAACACGCATTAATCTTCTCTACAAAATATTACACCAACAAGTAGCAATACACACCAACAATCTCATCCCGGCAGACACCAGAACACGTCAAGGACACGACCTTAGTTACAGAGACATATCTACACATCCAAAGACACATACAGACACTCATTCTTTCCATACACCATAATACAGTGGAACCTCCTACCCAAAACAATAATCCAATCAGAAACACTAGCAGAATTCATAACTAACACTCCCTCACTGCTTTTAACCTGTTTTTATCCTATAGCAAATAACAAAAATCAAAAAAAAAATCACTGTGCATAATAATTAACGCACAACAGCACAAGACCGACTTCCGTAATCGTTGGTATCGACGGAGGAAGTAGAAAAGATGAAGATGAAGATATTGACCGAGGCAAAGCTGAGGTCAATATAACTTTTTCAGGTTCATATCGCATCATGTTTACCAGTACAAAAGCCCATAAGTGTTTTATTATATGCTTCAACAATAAGATTTTGTATAGTTCTGGAACGAGCCTCCGTGTAAAATTCAGCCAGGGTTGAATCCGACAGTTTGGCATTGTAGCTTTCAAAGACATTGTCAGTAAGACAGATGATTGCTTAATAAAGTTAAATTGCATTGTAAAAACGGTCGGGAGGAATGAAAAGTGGTTGCATAAAACAGATGGTCATTTAATACAGATGGTCGCTTGAGCAGATTTGACTGTAGGCTATATTAAGAAATCGTATTCACCGGATGAGTTTTTGAGGACTGATCACGTTTTCTCCCCATTTCTATATATTCTGGACAGTTATGAGAAGAGAAAAGGTCAAGAAGAAAAACCTTTTTATATCTAAGAACTTGTTTTACAGGTGAACTGAAAAAGCCTGGTCGGTCGATCCCGCGAGGAACAATTTGTGCTGTGATGTTTACATTTATTATTTATTTCATTGACTGTTTAATGATCGGAGGATCGTGTGACAGGTGAGTAACATCTACAGTATTTGCCATGTTGCCACTGATTCTGGTTTGTGTAAGTTTTTAAAACAACCTATTGTATTACGTCTCAACTAGCTCAACAGGAGAGCACATGTGACTTACCCATATATACTTGAACACAACTAATATAACAACAAATATGAAAATGCTGAAAAGTTATGACACCTTCAGATAAAAACATTACTTTATGGATTTGTTATTCCTGCCCAAAACTAGGCAATACCAAGTTTTTCATACATGAAAAAGATTTAGCCAACAAAAGTTAGTCCTTGATGCAAAATAAATGAACTAGAAGATGGTCTGCTGATATCAGGATCTTGCGACGATTTACCTTGGAATCGTGAAATTTTCCTAAAAAACAGTAGTCGCATTCTCCAAAAAATATCGGATGTCATATAATTTCTGCTACTTAATGACCTACAATGTACTTTCCATCTTTGGTTTTTACAAGCAGTCTAGTGCAGCATGTTTGAACGTATACAAAGACATGTACATTTACATATATCTAAAAAATATGTGGGGATGTGTTTCTTTGTAGATTCCTCCTGGTAAACAACTACAACTTCCTACAGGACATCAACCTTTGGGCACCATTCATCTTGATTGGTTTATTTGCTGCGACCCTGTCTGCTGCCCTCGGTAACCTGATTGGTGCCTCAAGGATCCTTGAAGCCCTGGCAAACGACCAGCTGTTTGGTACGTAAAAGGATCTGACAATACTTCTGTCTTCTTGATGCACATTTTCACATTGTGTTTTCAAAAATACATAGGACTCAACCATGAGTTGTTATTCTTAGGGTGATAACTATGTATTGACTGTTACTATACAACAAAAGTAGACCAATGGAATCCTTCCCAGGAATGAGGTGGTATTTATAAGGAGATTCAAGCCCCAGGGATGTAATATCAAAGAGAACCCTAAGTTTAACAAAAGCTGGTTTGAGCACAGAATCCATGCTTGATGATCAGGATTGAGAATGGTTTTATGAATACGAGCCCTGATCTAACCTTATTACTTGGTAATTGATGTATTTCTTACCTAGCTGCCATTACAACCGAAAAGGTGAAAATATCTATATTTAAATATTAGGAAATTCAATGTTATGTAGAGGGACAGATGATATTTTTCTGTTAGCTGATTTCTGACAATAAGGTCACAATAATAATCCAGACCTGTGCATGCGGGTCAGATAGAATTTTCCAGTTCATATGGACATGGGGGATGATGGGATAATTTTTTCACTCAAGATGAAAGAGAAATTAACATTTAACGAATTTCATCAAGTTTTTCAAAGTCAGATGGAATGTGAATAATATCAAGCTTTTGTCATTATAATTCACCCGACTTTGTAAATAACATGTATTGTTACAAAAAAATAAAATCTTATAAATAAAGAAAAATGAAACAATTTCTACATTTCACTATGTATTTAAGTGTTTTGGATTAATAGCCACCTGATGATATGATAAAAGGATCATTTGTTTATTAAATAGGTATTTTCCTGAAACCTGCAACAATAACTACAAAGGGAGGTAACCCTTATGTGGCAGTCCTAATGTCCTGGATCCTTGTACAGGTATATATAATGGCAGTGTTTAAACTTAACCCGTTGACAATCACTATGAAAAACAATATATATAGGTCTATGGGAATCATTTACATCATAGACAGAATTGTCTGATAGAAGTTAATTCCTCAGATGTGCGTGATTCAGTGATATATTTAGTGGTGAAGGGAAAGTTCACTATTGAGTTAATTCTTCCTTTAACATTATACATGTTTTCTTAATTTCATGATATCAAGCACTAATTATGTCGGTAACATGTTCTTGGTTAGGGGCTAGTCTATGAAAATTTCAGTAGGGCTATAAGAAATCGATATTAGAAAAAGACTTGTCTTTGGTGTGTAAATTCCTAATTTTAAGACTTATCATAGATGATTTAAAAGTCTTAAGCATCATGGAAAATTTGTCTATTGAAAAAAATCCAGGTTTAAAGATAATGTTTGAATTGAATTGTAAATCTCTAATGGTCTAAGTAAACATCCTGAAGCAACATCAAGATGAATTCATTTATGATTTATATTAATTTCATGTCAATTCATGCAGCGGAAAATTGCCCGTGTAGTAAACACATTCTAGCTGTCTTTAAATGTAAGACTTCTTTTGGTATGAATTGAAACATCTCCTGACATAGCAAGGGAGGCAACTTTACACACAAGGTTTGCAAACCACATACAATTGATGAATGGACACTGTGTTTTTAGTCTGAATGTTTGCCTAATTGGTTTAAATTGATTAAACAGAAATTGGTCAAGTAAGTAAAAAAAAAGACATCATTCCATTCATCATTGTTTAATATTTAAATTCTAATGCCATATTTCCCATACTTCGACTCGTGACAGGCGGTGTTGTTGGTGGGATCACTCAATGCGATTGCTCCGGCTGCGTCTGTATTCTTCCTCTTGTCTTACGCTGGGGTCAACCTGGCATGTTTGGCCCTGGAACTGGCGTCTGCTCCAAATTTTAGGTATGTGTGCATCCTTTTGTCTCATAATCTAAAATTAAAAAGGATCCATACAAATTTGTTTCATTTTTGTTGCACACTCCATAAAGTTGAAACTGAAATCAAGTGCCTATCATTCTAAATGCTTTATGGGGCAAATTTTGACAGTCAAAGCCTAATTACCATGGTTTTTACCTCTAAAAAAATGCCTATGTGTATATAACACTGTACTCATTTGTTAACTGTGTTGCATAGAACCCATATTCTCTCAAAATGAAAAATTCAAGTAAATAATTTAGAAAAAGTCTCTTTACCACTTATTCCAAATCCTGTTGTATGTTACTTTAAATTCTAATAATGTGATATTCAGTTTTACCTTTTTTTCTTCTTACCCAGGCCATCTTTCAAATACTTCACCTGGTACACCTGTGGAGCCGGACTGTTGGGTTCAATGGTGATGTGCTTCCTGATCAGCCCTATATACACCTCCGTGGCCATCATCATCATGTTGCTGTTGACAATTTTACTTCACTTCCGTCCCCTACCTACTCAGTGGGGCTCCATCAGCCAGGCTCTTATATTCCACCAGGTAACACTCCACTTCCACTCCCTAACCACTCAGTGGGGCTCTATCAACCAGGCTCTTATATTCCACCAGGTAACACTTCACTTCCACTTCCTACCCACACAGTGGGGCTTTATCAGCCAGGATCTTATATTCCACCAGGTAACACTCCACTTCCACTCCCTCCCCACACAATGAGGCTCTATCAACCAGGCTCTTATATTCCACCAGGTAACACTTCACCTCCACTCCCTACCCACACAGTGGGGCTCTATCAGCCAGGCTCTTATATTCCACCAGGTAACACTCCACTTCCACTCCCTAGCCACGCAGTGGTGCTCTATCAGCCAGGCTCTTATATTCCACCAGGTAATACTACACTTCCGTTCCCTACCTACTCAGTGGGGCTCTATCAACCAGGCTCTTATATTCCACCAGGGAACACTCCACTTCCGTTCCCTACCCACACAGTGAGGCTCTATCAACCAGGCTCTTATATTCCCCCAGGTAACACTCCACTTCCGTTCCCTACCTACTCAGTGGGGCTCTGTCAACCAGGCTCTTATATTCCACCAGGTAACACTCCCCTTCCGTTCCCTACCTACGCAGTGGTGCTCTATCAGCCAGGCTCTTATATTCCACCAGGTAACACTTCACCTCCACTCCCTACCCACACAGTGGGGCTCTATCAGCCAGGCTCTTGTATTCCACCAGGTAACACTCCACTTCCACTCCCTCCCCACACAATGAGGCTCTATCAACCAGGCTCTTATATTCCACCAGGTAACACTCCACGTCCGTTCCCTACCCACACAGTGAGGCTCTATCAACCAGGCTCTTATATTCCACCAGGTAACACTTCACCTCCACTCCCTACCCACATAGTGGGGCTCTATCAGCCAGCCTCTTATATTCCACCAGGTAACACTCCACTTCCGTTCCCTACACACACAGTGAGGCTCTATCAACCAGGCTCTTATATTCCACCAGGGAACACTCCACTTCCGTTCCCTACCCACACAGTGAGGCTCTATCAACCAGGCTCTTATATTCCCCCAGGTAACACTCCACTTCCGTTCCCTACCTACGCAGTGGGGCTGTATCAGCCAGGCTCTTGTATTCCACCAGGTAACACTCCACTTCCTCTCCCTGCCCACGCAGTGGTGCTCTATCAGCCAGGCTCTTATATTCCACCAGGTAATACTACACTTCCGTTCCCTACCTACTCAGTGGGGCTCTGTCAACCAGGCTCTTATATTCCACCAGGTAACACTCCACTTCCGTTCCCTACCCACACAGTGAGGCTCTATCAACCAGGCTCTTATATTCCACCAGGTAACACTCCACTTCCGTTCCCTACCTACGCAGTGGTGCTCTATCAGCCAGGCTCTTGTATTCCACCAGGTAACACTCCACTTCCACTCCCTACCCACGCAGTGGTGCTCTATCAGCCAGGCTCTTATATTCCCCCAGGTAACACTCCACTTCCGCTCCCTACCCACACAGTGGGGCTCCATCAGCCAGGCTCTTATATTCCACCAGGTAACACTCCACTTCTGCTCCCTACTTTTGCTACTCTTGCAGTTAAGTTCCAAAGCTAGGCCTCCATATATTCCAACAGGTGATGCCTTCGGCACTTTGACCTTAAAGGGGGATTCATCAGCCAGGCCCTCTATTTTTACAAGCTTACACTCCCAAGCTCTATTGGGTGTCTTCACAATGGGGATAATAATTATGGTTAACCCTTTCACCCCTATGCAACTTTAGAAGACTCTACCATGAATTGATCTGGATGAGTCCATTATGGTCTACAGTGGTGAAAGGGTTAAATACAAATAGACTTGTTTAATGTTTTAAAATGTTCCAGAAACCTAGAATACAGAAATATATTTCTCACTCAATTGCTACAGGCTAGTACTTCCGACTCATTGGATAAATCTGGTGGGTTTTATAAATATTTTTTTGTGGGTCACACTGGTGACATGATTTTATTGGCCATTTGTTAATTGTGATGTCACAAATTAGTGTTTGTGCTAGCATCTTCTATTGTGATGTCAGAATTTATGGTAATTGTTTTTTCGATAAGAAAAAGGAATCAAGTATTTCCAAGACAAATGGGATTTCTAGATATAATATGAAGTTCATGGGTGAAAAAGGTCCCCAAACTTGTGATGGCTGGTTTTCATTTTTACCCGACTCCTACATACATTAGTTAGTTTTCGAATTGTGGAAAGACACGTTGTAAACCTTGTGACTTTATACCATTTGAAATTTAACCAACTTGAGTTAGATAAACATGATAACCAACAAGCGCTTGCTTTGGAACCTTCTATATCGAATATTGATAGGTGAATTTTGTTGAGGCAATTGGTGTCAGATTCGAAAGGCCCATTACATCACGAAACATGGAGTATATTCCTGTATAAGTAATGTCCCCTACTTGACACTTTGTAATGCTTCGCTACAGGTCAGGAAGTACCTTTTAATGTTAGACCCTAGGAAGGGTCATGTGAAGTACTGGCGTCCACAGATCATCCTCATGGTGGCACAGCCTCGACAATCCTGTGAACTCATCGACTTCATCAACGACATCAAGAAAGGAGGGCTCTATGTCCTCGGCCACGTTAAGGTTTGTAAACAATGCATTGACCGTTGTAACGAATAACGGTGGTTTTTTTATCCTTTGTGAGTATTTTTTTTGTAAAATATACTGATTTACGCAGTTATATTAAAGATCCCTGTCCACTGGACTGGTCTATCCTACAGTTACCTCCCCTTAACTTCCGTTTGGTTATAACTGCAGCAGAGTTGGGCCAGGACAGTTTCGTAGACCAGGTACTTCAAACTGTTAAAGTGATAGTATATATAGCAATCTGCAGTCCAAGGTTCGTATCCCGGTCTATAGACCGCTGAATTTTACGCTCAGAACAAACACCATTGTGGATTATATTTTGTTTATTTCATCTTTAGATTATTTCTCATAAAAGTCTTGCAAAGTATGGTTTTCTTTTCTAAAATGATTGATGAACATACTTGTAATAGTGAGTTCTGCCAGCAAAAACAGTTTCCAGTCTATAGTTACTGTTTTTGGCAGTGGTACGGGATCCTTAAGTTTTTATGTTCATACAAAAACACTTACCACACTATGATAGCTAAGCTGCTAGATATAGAATCACCATATTATTACATGTTATAGACAATTATAGTACTACATCGTGGTGTTTTTACGTTTACTTCTTCAAATATAATATTTTTTATTTTTTTTTATTAATTCAAGTATTGCTACTCATTGGTGTCTTTTAATGACCAGATATTAAATTACAGTATAAGTATGTCAGCTTATACTGTATACCAGGAAATTTTTGCTGCAGTTTAACTTTTGCTTTTTTCGTGATGAGGATGAATTTATTATTACAGCGAATATAAGATGACAACATAATATACATAGTAATATAACATGAGGGATGAAATAAACACTGCATGAAAGTAAATTTTCTGGGTGAAGGGAGGAAGTTTAAACAGTAATACACTTGCTTAACCCTTTCACCCCTTATGTATCTTTAGTAGGCTCTACCATGCATTGATCTGGAGGAGTCCATTTATGGTCTACAGTGGTGAAAGGGTTAAACAAAAGGCATAACAAGACTCTAGGAAGTGGAATGATATTCAATATTATACATTAAGCTTGGTTCTGTCAATAAAACCTAAATACTGTTTGGTAGGGGTGTCACAATACGCCTGGAGTACATCACAATATATATTGAACTGCAAAAGGAATGTGTTGCAATCAGCATCCTGATATATTATCCTTGTCAGTATGATATCAGACTGAATCTTTTATCATATGGATCACAAAGGACTGAGAATTGTTGTTACACAACCATCAGTTATGAAATTTAAACAGATTCCCACTACTATAACCTGTGTATGGATATGGGCAAATCTGTTAGAATATGTTGTATTTTCTAAAGGCAAAAACACCTAGCATAAGGCATACAAATGAATTGAAAAATATTACAATACAACAATATTTCGTTAGTATATTATGATACTATACGATATGCAAATCTGTTAGAATATGTTGTATTTTGTTAAGGCATAATTTTTATGCATTATGCTAGGTGTTTTACCTAGCATAATGCATAAAAATTAAGCTTTTGAAAAATATTGCAATACAATAATATTTCATTAGTATATTGCGATACTATACGATATGCCTGTGTATTGTGATAAACCAGTTTTCCAATATATTGTGACAGCTCTACTGTTTGTGCATACTTGCCAACTCTCTTTATTTTGGAGGGAGACTCCCAAATTTTTAACCCCACAGTTGAGCATTTTCAATCAGTAAATCTGTTAAACTATTCCTATGTTCTAAGACCTGATGATTTCATCTGAAAGAATACTTCAAAAGATGCCATTTTAATGTGTTATTTTGTCTCTAGGGGTTCACATACACATTTTATTAATGTATTTAATTTTGACCATGCAATATCTCCCCCATGGAAATTTCAATAAAAAGTTGGCAAGTATATATAAATTGTATACCAAAATAAGCTACGTTTATATTAACAATGTACCAAAATGATGATTTTCGAGTCCTAATCATTATCTATTTCATTTTGAAGGTTGGGCGCTGGGAAGATCATGACACGGACCCATTGGGCGAGGAGCAGACACGCTGGATGACTTTGGTAGATGGCATGAAGATCAAAGCTTTTGTAGAGATTACCATGGCAACATCTGTTGTCGAGGGAATGCGACATTTGGTGAGAATAGCGGGACTAGGAGGCATGAAACCAAACACAGTGTGTCTGGGATTTTACGATTCCTCGAAGCCTATAGATTCTCTAGCCAGGAGGCTTACGCAGAAAAAGAAGCGCATTTTAGGCGGAGTTGAAAACGGTGTTTCCTCAAATATGGAAGGTCTTTTTTCCAGTCTACGAGGAGAACATGAAAACAAGAGTCTACAACCGGGGGAGTATGTACAGATGATTGAAGATTCTCTAAAACTACAGAAAAACGTGATTCTTTGTCGACATTTCCACTTGTTAAACAAGACTGTGGTTGCAGACACTAGAGCGACGTCTTATATAGACGTATGGCCTGTTAATTTGTTTCAACCAGAAACTGCGAGTTTCTTTGACAACACATGTCTGTTCATGCTGCAGTTCGCCTGCATTTTGAGGATGGTTCCGCCATGGAAAGCCAAAACTCAACTTCGTGTGTTCTTGTGCCTTAATGCCCAGACAGACAACACACTCCAGAAAGAACAGAAACTGGACGCTTATTTACAGCAGCTGCGTATTTACGCCAAGATCAAAATCGTCACTTGGGACCACCTCATGCATATGTTGCCACAACCGACGGAGGTGAGCAGTGAGCTGATGCAGGATTTTCATTCGGCTCCAAATCAGTTTATACAGGAAATGAACGAACTGATCATCTCGCATTCAAGTCGGACTGTGGTATCCTTCTTGTATCTCCCACGACCTCCGCCTGAGAGTAAATTTCAAGG